CAAATTCCAAGTGATATCCACCAAACTCACGTTGATCAATGTCCTTACTTATAGGTTCTGGTCTTTGTTTTTAAAAATTGATATCAGTTATCGGAAAAAATCGATCACATTAGACATCCGATTCAAATTCAATGTAACTGATTTTGGGCGCTGTTTTTCGCAAACTGCAAGGAATTTTCACGAAAATCATGTTGAGCATTAGTTTTATCAAGTGTTATTAGTTGTTCACCTTTTTCTTCAATATCGGTATCAATTATCGGAAAAAACGATAACATCATGCCACTTTTTAATTCCTATTCAAATCCAAGCAAGGTGATTTTTGGTTATATTTTTCGCAAATGGCGAAGAATGTCTACCAAAATTAAGTTGACCATTGTTTTTATCAACAGTTTTGAGGTGCTAACATTTATTTTCAATTTCGATATCAATTATTGGAAAAAAATTGATACAATCGATCATTTTGGGAGATCGGATTCAAGTCCAGTCTAGCTGATTTTTGGCTATATTTTTCGCAAATGGCGAAGAATTTTCAGCAAAATTTCCGTTAAGCATAGTATTTACCGACTGTATTGAGGTGCTGACTTTCATTTGAAATATCGGTTTCAATTATCGAATAAAAATCGATGAAATCATACCACTTTTGACTTTCCATTCAAATCGAGTTTACCTGAATTTGGCAACATTTTTCGCAACTTGTTTAGGATTTTCATTAACTTTATCGTCTGTGGGACGAAGGTCTTACTTTTGCTCCTGTTACGCCGCCATCTGGTTGATACGATAGGCTCCTTCAACGGATCATTTCTCCTATCGCAAGTTGTTTCTTACGTTTTTGTTTTCCGTTTGTCTGTTTAACTACATTTTTCCAACTACCATAAACAATTTATTCAGCTGTTTTATTTAAATAACTGTCTTCCCGATTCTGGCTCACGATTGTAGACATTGTACTCCTGTAATTGAGCAAACCTAATAAACCACTGCTAGCATCATTTTCCCCATGCCATCAAAAAGGAGAGTACATCTTAGCCTTCGTTCTGCAAGAACGTCCCCTATGAGGACAAGAAGGGCCCGCGAGTCCCAGGAGCAAACTACAATGCGACTGTCACAGGTCGCACAATGCAGCGCCCTCAAGCAGACCTCACAGTCACAAGAAGAGCGTGCAACCTGCTTGGCTGGGAAAGCTGTCTACCAGGGCTTCGTTGCGATAAAGGCTCAAGATGCACAACGGTAGAGAATGAACGCACAGGCTGCAGCAACCACCTCGGCATCTCGGTCTTACAAGACTCATCATCAAAGGCTTCTTCGTAACGTAAGAAACACTGCTGCTACTGCGAAATCAAAGGCAATAGAGACACTTGACCGTAGGCGCGCCCAACAATCCAGGGACGCTACTGCAACAGCGGTCGCTAGGACTGCTTAGACATCGCTCCGTAGGTCTGTTCGAAATGCTACGAATTCTACCATCGCTGCCAGGTTGAGAGCAGCTGAAACATTTGACCACAGGCGCGCCTGTCAATCCAGGGACGCTGCTGCAACAGCTAGGTCGAGGGAGTCCGAGACAGAGATGCAGCAGGCAACTCTCAATGCCCGCAAGGCCGATGCGACTTCTGCTGCCAGAAACTCCGATGGCCCTCAGAGAAGGGTAAACAGACTTTCAAGGCCTGCTACAAACATGGCCGCTGTGCGCTTATCTCAGACTCCCCAAGCTCGCCGCATACGCCTCAACGGCGACATTCATCACCTTGCGGCCGCCCGTGGTACTACCCATCCCAGTAGCTCTTTTTTGTCTTTCTTGACTTTCAATTACGACCCCTGCATTAGCTTAACTACGCGTGACAAAATCAATGTAGGGTCCATCACCTGCGTTTGCCAATTCTGCAACGCCGGCAAATGGGCCAGAAAGCCTTCCGGTCTGTGCTGCTCCTCCGGCAAAGTTCGACTGCCACCTCTGCATGAACCACCTACTCCTTTGAGGGGATTAATAGCCGGCTCCCATCCCGACTCCAACCACATCCTTAAAACAATTACGCAATACAACTACTACTTTCAAATGACTTCATTTGGTGCTCATGTGGATCGAGAAACGGGTGGGATGCCCACTTTCAAAGTACAGGAGCAGGTATACCACCGCATTGGTTCTCTGCTGGCTGATGAGACCTCTACTCTTAAATTCCTTCAACTGTACTTTATTGCAGACTACAAACTACAGGCCGAAACACGGATTGTTATTTTGCTGCCGTCGGGAAGAGTTTCTCGCAGGGACGTCATACTACTACTTCAGGCCATGCTTCACGAGGTTAACAGCTACATTCGCAATTTCAAATATGCTTTCCTTCCTTTCTTCAGAATTGTAATTGACGTCGACAAACGGCCTCATGATGAATATGAACGCTGCTACAATGCTCCTGCGTGCAATGAAGTGGCCGCTATTATACATGGGGAGCAAGACTGTACTCGTGATATTGTCCTCAAATCAAGAGGCGGCGCTCTTCGCAGGATTTCAGAGACCCATCGATCATATGACGCATTGCAGTACCTTTTACTTTTCCCTTATGGTGACGATGGCTACCACTTCGGCATTCCCCTTCATACTTCGGGTGGCCAACCTACCACATCTTCCAAAGCCTTATCGTGCGAGGCCTTCTACTCATACCGGTTCATGTTTAGGGATGGAGACTTCAACCTGCATCATAGATTCAAGCAGTTTGCGGTTGACATGTCCGCTAAGATGGAATCATCAGAAACAGCTGCGCTCAGACTCCTATGTACACTTACGCGACAGCCTTCGAAATGAGGTACATCCTCGCGACCTAGGATGCTCTGACATACGTTAGGCAATATGGGCGGCCAGACTTATTTATAACGTTTACCGGCAAATGAAAATGGGTTGAGAAAACGCGTGAACTCCTACCCGGACAGGATTACACTCACACACATGACATTAGCGCCCGTGTATTCCGCTTAAAACTGGGAAAACTTATGGACTTAATAGTGAAGGGCCGAGTCCTACAGTGGAAACGCAATCACTATTTTACATTGTCAGAATTAAAAATCTTGACCGTTTATGAACGTGTGGCACGGAACAGCAACATAACAGCCACCTATTGCCACCAGTTGCCCTTGATCTCATTGATTTTGCTACCAGTGAGATTCCCGACTTTAACTAACTAACGCCTTTATCTACTGTGTCATGTGTGGTTAGATCCAGTGACAGGGCCCAAAGAGTGTGAGTGCAATACCTGGTTAAGGCGGTGGAGAACTTGGAGAGGGGAATTAACAAGAGATAACTGATAACTGACATCCATTAGACATGACACGAATAATAATAATACGTATGAAGTATTTGATACATTTATTTTTCGTTATAGTCAAGCTCCGTTACACCGTTCTACACATGACGTCACTTATACAATTCATACATCTTTGGATATGAATTTTAGCGCTCTAAAATGCCAAGATGTAGCCAAGAAATTCTTGTCTACCAGATTACAAACACTTTTTAATCATTTCACACAATGCAATGAGATAATAACACTAGTGAACGATAATGAGAAAATTTGGTTAAGTGAGGAAAAACAACCATAAAAGTACAGAAAATCAGAAAGTAGCAATTGGCAATTCATTTAAATTTTTGATGGTTGCAGGTAACAAGGTAGAGAAAGAAACAGGAAGGGAGTTTGATAAGTAATAAGTTAGAATAGAAAACAGGATTGCATCTATCTATAAAACGGTGAGACCTTTTGTCGATCAAGTAGTTCACTTAAATTAGTGTAGGTGAGGCATCAAGGAGGAAAGCACATCAATACAAGTGCCATGAGAATAATGATGAAAAAAAAAACCCCAAAAAATGGAGGAAGTCACATCATGTCGGTGGGAAAGTGACTGAAGTCAAGATTCTATAAGGACTGGTAAAATTAAAGCCTCTTCTTTGGATGTTGTCAAGAATCTCGAGATACATAGTAGGTGCAGAAAACAAGATATGGCAATACTATTCAATGAAACGGACGAATGGGAGATTTATAAATGTACAAGATGGATTCTGACGCGAAAAAGAGAGCAAAAAATTAACTTTGTAATGTTTTTGCACAATTTTCATTTCGGTGTAAATCAACTTTTTGGAAAGTTAGGAAAATATAAACGAATAAAAAGGAAGAGTTTGTCAGTTAAACAAAATGGATGCACAGGGGTAGAAATTTGTGAGATGTAAGCTAGTTTCGTATGTTACATTCCGATATATTTCTATCTATCTATCTATCTATCTATCTATCTATCTATCTATCTATCTATCTAAATCGATAGATGTAGATATTACATATTATAATGTCTGAATTTATATTAAAATATATAAATATCATGTTTAATAAAATTTATTTATTAACATAATTTTCATCACTATATTAATACGCTAAAAGACGTTGGAATTGTCATTGTTTGAAACGAAAGAAGTTTGAGAAGGTATATTAATCTCCTCATGGGTTTTAAAGACACGTCAATCAAATGACCTTGCATAACCGGCAATCAGGAGTAATAATAGGAGTAATATCTAAACATTACATATTGTCAGGGATTTTTCTTCAATGAGGTGCCGAATCTTATGCGGTATGGGATTGTGAATTATCATAATGGAACAACAAATCATTTTGACTGATTAAGTAGGTTACATTTTCGTTCAAGATTCTTTAGATATTCTAAATTATGTAATCATAACAGTAACGTCGCAAAACTTTCGTTTTTCTATCGCTGTTTCTATCGTAAGTGTTTTGAAGCATTACATTCCATGGATCCATAAAGACCTGACCTTTGCTTCTTAGAACTGCCATGCGACGCGCGAGAGGATGAATCATCGTCGTCCCCTTATTCCATTAGTAAGAAGTAAATTCCACTCGAACGAACAGCTTCTTCACATGAACTGCTGATTTGTGAAACAGACACCACGTAGGATGTTTCTTCCCAAATCAATCTTAACTTCTTCAAGTCTAGAGTTAACTGTTTCGTACATAAACTGCAGTATTGGTCTTATCTGCTTTAAGTGGCACTTGGGCCTTGCATTAGTTGAATAAAAAAAACGTAAGTCGTAGCAAATCAAATCAAAACGGACGATACTAAAATGTATCTTTAATGATGGTTTATTTTATGCCATACGTTAGCCTGCTAACTTCCGCAAAGCAACTGTTCATCATCATCTTCAGTAGTATCATCATCATCATCATCAGTAGTCTCATAGCCGTCTGTGGCTGTACCTGCAAAACTGATGACATGACCAGTTTCCTCTACATTTGGATTCAAACCGGAGAGTGCAAGGAATACTTGACAGAGCCCATCCCTCTTAAGGTCAAACCACATCTTATGTCCAAATTGAAGGCTCGTCTTGGTCACGGAGATGTGACCGTTGAATACTTCGGGGAACCCTCTCCCTTCACAGTTAAATGCAGTTTAGAAATCTTCCACCCAGCCATGCTGTGTCCTCATACATAGCTATGGAAACCAGTCTACCCCATTGTGCTAGATGACTGTTGTGCCAACAAGAAATTTCATCCGCCCTTTGACTGGTATTTTTTTTTTTTCTACTATTTATTATTTCCACCCTTCTTACCCGAACACACCTGCTTAAAGAACCTATTTAATCGCTAATGACTTGATCATACGCCAGGTACTATTGGGTTTCATTGTGTCAACAGCACTCGTATAAGTGACCTGACATATCTCCACACATTATTGTAAAATAATATTCATTTTTCATTGCCAGCCAATAATCTGTGCAAAACTGGCGAAAAGAGTTGTAAAATTTCACAGTGTTCTCCCACAATAGATAGAAGTGAGCATTAGTGATTTTTGATCCGCTTCAATGATTTTGAGATCACTTATGGAACTGTATTAATTCATTTGTATTTGTTGTTTCTACTTTCAGATTTTTCATTAAAAAAAAAAAAATCGGCATAGTTCGAGAAACACTTGTCTGCAGAGAAAAGCCAAAATTCCTGAAAAGCGATTAAATTTATATTTTTTTTTTTGCTTTCCACCAAGGAAATTCTCTATGCGAGAAAAGAATTTAGCACCCTGAAAAGGAACATAAGTTTAGGAGTGTAGATCCTGGGTTTTGATAAATACAAGGAAAAGATATGTGAAAAACTGATGTTTGACGACACGTTTATGACACCAAAAGTGAACACATTTTAAATTTCTCCTCGAGAATAATTTTCTGAGATTTTGAGGAAAAATACATTAAATTTGAGAAAAGATTTGTCACTGAGGTTAGAGACAAAGAAGAAGGGAAAATATCTAAAAAAGATAATGTTAATTTGAGTGAAAGGTTTGTGTTTTAGAGCCATAAAATCCACTTGCTATACGTCATTTTTTATAGAATGTCAAGTTAAACTTGTCTGGCTTGTATAACATTAATTGCAATAAGGTTCCTCTGATTTTCCTAGTAAAAAAAAGAGAAGGTGCACATATTTATAACTGATCACCTCAAAATAAATGATTAATTATGTACGCGTTTTGATTAAATTCAAATGATCATAACTTGGCAGATATTCGAGTGATGGCAAAGTTAGAACAGTTCTGATATCCCCAGACCTTCTTCTTTCCGAATAGATATAGCGCATTATAATACATGGGGAAAAAAAAGAAAACAAATGTCCGCTTACGAGATCCAGATTGATATATATATATTAACACTTCTAAAATTTGAAACGATCTCCTCAACTTCTATCATTTTACTGATGTAAGCCACAAAAACATGGATTTTTAGCGATACTTTTCTGAATTAATATTGTTTCTTTCGTTTTTACTGAATGTATATTGTTATTCCTTCCTCGTTTTTGATGAATATTATCTCTTTTAATTCCTTTATCTGAACGATTGCTGTCTTCGTTTCTTCATTTTTAAAATGAATAATGTCTTTAATTCTTTCTTTTCTTCATGAATTTTGTCTTTTCTAATATTGAATATCGATAAATTATCCGTAGAAACATCTGCCTTCAAGAAGGTAAAGTTTGTAATCTAGTTAAATCCTGTTGTGTCAACTGAAGCTGACATCTCCGAACACATTCGCTCATGAATTCTTATCATTTAGCCATTTAGAATAGGAAAAAAAAGCCACATGGAAATGCCACAACGTTGTCCACATACTAAGCTAAAGATAAAAGAAGCGGTCAAACTATTGTGAAATTGTAAGTACCGAACATGTCTTTAGCGGTAAAGGCAATAAATGTAATTTGTACATCTCCGAAAAACTGCAAGCTGGTTGATGCTTATGGTTTGGTTAATGGTTAAACCGAAGGTATGAATTGATATCCGACTGCAGGCTTAAAAATATTTTTTAAGAACCTTGGTGCGAGATAATCTGAAAACCTTTATCCATATATTTCACTTCCTCCATACATCTGCCCCGGACCTCCTGAGTAGCACACCGTATATGGTGATATGCTCACGATGGAAACTATATATAGTATCGGCCATGTTTCTGTACTTTTCAACCGCCTGAGGATTGTGAGACATCACACAAAAAAAAAGAAAAAGATTGAGTACATGGAAATTTATGTTGAAGGAAAACAGCGAAATATAAAGATAATTAAGTTGTTTATTACTGCGATCAAAGCAAATATGTGTTTTGATTGTCATTATTTCATTCTTTCTCTATACGTTTTATTTATGCTTAATTTATTTGAAAGCAAACGGAAATCGCCTTTCATGTCTAGTATTTTAAAATAAAAGTAATAACTAGTTACTTTTAACGTTACAATATGTATTACATTAAACATTACCCAAGATGAAATTCATCTATATTTATTTCCATTCTTCGAGTTAAAAATCTAATTCCTTCAGCGAAATTAAATATCATTTCTCTGTTGATAGATATTTGTAACAATTGGGTTGAAAGTATTTCTTTAAGGCATGGACTTAATCAGCATCTGTTACTTACATCATTACCTCTTACTTGCATCAAAATACATACGGTGATTTGGTTCCGGATTAATGTCGTAGGGATTAGTTCATCCAAACAGCTGACAGTTCAAGTTCAAAACACAATCTGCAATATACTTACATGTGTTTACATACAATAATCGCAGTAGCAATTAACATAGTGGTAACTGCAAAGGGCAATCGACTTGGTGATGTGTCTTTTTAATCTGTGTTTTGTAATGTGCTTATATAGCCGATGCGCTCTGATATGCTAGAAGAAATAGAATTGCAAATGCATTTTAATCTATCTAGATCACTGGTTCCTGGCCTATTTATCCCATACTCCATATCTCGGCGACGAAATAATAATTCTCTGAATAAATTTCGGAATTAATCAATTTAAACCTAAACACAATTCTGTTCTCAGTAATGCAATGCTGTACTAAAGAGCTTGTCAAGTTATCCCAATTGCCATTTACTCACAATTTGGTCATTCACCCCACGTTCAGAAAAGTTTCATATTCTACTATTTCTATTCTAATTTATAAAATCATTCTCTTAAAATAGTTTTTTAGGAAAATGTTTTTCTCGTGTCTAGTAACTGTTATCGCTCTATTTGATGGGGTTTCCTTCCTTAACTTTTACTTGAAATATTGTGGAACGTGATCAGTCTTGATTATGTCATCATTTTCCTTCGAGTTACATTTTAGCTGTTGGTCATAATTCATGTGATGTGGTTCCTATTATTTGCTACAGTGTTTTATTTGTGATTCTGTAGCGCTATTGCTTCATTCATCGCTCAAATTTTAAACTTTGGTCTCAGAAAATGGTTCTAAATAATTGACAATTTACATATTTTTGAACGACAGTGGCGCTATGCGTGGCATCTACATGAACGTCTCGATCTGACGTGGCTAAGAACATAACTCGAGTTTTTAGGTTAATGTTTTGAAATAGTTTCCGATGTTGGTGAAACAAATACTAGGGCAGTACTAGTATCTTAATTGTAACTCATCTATATAGGAATAGAATTTGAAGTGTTTAGTATTTACTAATTCAACATCTCCCATTTTTAAGTCTCCGTAGAATATACAAATTGCTAGACCTCTATGACCCCAACGCTCAGAATATTTTTCTATGCTGTAATTATTCTTGTGTATTTAACATTTTTCTTTATACTGTGAAGTCTAAGAAGTGTTGGGTGAATATTATACACAATTTTTTCAATCCAACGTGTCGCAATACTTAGGATGATTTTACCGGAAGGAATTTATACATATCACCCAAACACACTGTTGGTCAACAAAGAGTTGATTGATTGAGTGATATATTTGTTTACGGTTTATCAACGATTCTAGGTTATTTAAAGCTAGAAAATATTTTTTAGGTTGTAATAATTCTATGAAGATTTACTAGCTGGAAA